TTTGAGTTTTATGCTATTCATCGTCTTTGACATTAGTTTAACGAAACAACGATCATAGAAAGATATAGAATTCGGTATTCAAAGAAAACTAACGAGTTTATTTGATCATCAATAGATCCAACAACGGATGAGTACTATAGCATATGCTAAAAGATTTGTGTTATGTCACATCCCTACCATAATATTTCCCTCAGCTCAACGAGTCGAAATTTAATTTTGTACCACACGACAAAACCACATGTTCTTTCTATTACAACAACCTATGAAAACATGTCTGGGGTAGTTTTGGGGTACATGTAGAGGATATATATATATATGCACTACTAGTACTATCCTCATCAAGTTAGGCTAAATTAGATTTGATCCATTGATAAAAGGGTCATAAAAATTAAAAACCTCATTTTTCTTATGTTTTTATTAAGTTAAGCCGAAGTTTTGGTGTATCATATCATCCGTTACATATTGGCTTCACTACAATTCTCTAAGCAACACACTTCTTCATAACAACACTCTCAATCGGAATCTTATCTTCCGGAAACGCACAATCCACCGGTTTTGCTTTCTCCGGCAACAAACTACACGGCTCCGGCGTCACCTTACTCGTAACTCCGGCTATATCCGTACAATTCCACTGAAGCTTCTTCGGTTTAGGAGACAACAAAATACTCACGTTCGACATACAAATCCCGGTAAAAGGATCGTTCTTGATCCCTTCAAGCCACGCCGCAATCGTAACGTTCTCCGCCGTCATATCACGGTAGTTAATGTTCTTAACCACCGGTAAAGCCTTTGCATCCCACTTACCATCCGCGTGTTGGTTATACGCACCGCTCATCCAGAAAACGTATTTCATCGTCTTCATAGTTACCCTCCTTGCAAAAATGTCTTTAACGTAACCGCCACGTCCAACCGCGGTTTTGATTCTGATCGCGGATTGCGTTTGGATCAGCGTTATGTCTTCGATCCTAACGTCTTTGATCCCACCGGACATCTCGCTCCCAAGTGCTACTCCTGCACTGTCCGGTGAGATGCATGTTAGCCGTCTGATCGATAGTTGTTGTGTCGGCATCGCGGTCTTGATTCCGTATTGGTCCCAACCGCTTTTAACCGCGATGCAGTCGTCGCCGGAGACTACGTAACAGTCTTCAATTAAGGTGTTGGTGCAAGAATCTGAAACATATAGCAATGTTACATAATCGTACATCATAATTCATTAGATCCTTGTGGTCCAAGAAATTTTTAACACTTGATTAGCAAAATGTTGCACAATTGATTAGATAAATAACATTTTTATGACAATTTTATCCTTATATTCTTCAAATATATGTATATAACTTAAGAATCTATATGCGTACACAATAATTATCGGGTTAACACGAATGTGAACGTACCGGGGTCGATTCCATCGGTGTTAGGAGAATCGATGGGAGCAAGAATTGTAACACCCTTGATGATAACATTCTCACAATACACTGGATGAATATTCCACGATGGTGAATCAATTAAACGTTTTGGGAGAAAAGGATCTCGATCATGTACGGCCTCGTGATGGACTTAAATCCACCGCTCTTGAATTTTACCCACCAGTACTTCCCTTGTCCGTCGATTGTCCCATTGTTACCTAAATATAATCAATATATCAAAAATGATCAATAAATTGTCAAATTTAATATGACAATAAAATTTAATATGATTGATGAATAGTATTTTTTGTGTTTACCGGTGATAATGACGTCCGTCAGATTCGTGCCCGATATTAAACTAGCGAACCTTGGTCCTGGTGCATCCCTTCCTCGTCCGTACGACGGCAATGGTGCAACCACGGGGTATTCTGTATTCAGATTCGTCCTGGTTTGTTCAAACCGAATTTAACCAATATATATATAACTAATTTATATTACATTGAGAAATAACCTCGACCATATTGTGTTATTTCATTCTTTTAAAGATAGCTTACACGTCATTGTCCGGTTCAACATATAACGTTTCAATTCAATCATATATGAATATGTCATTTTCTTCTTTTGGTTTAGATATTGGTTTTTGTTTTGGAGATTAGGGCGAAGCTAATATACCTGAGAGGCTAAGAGAGTTGCTCCTTTCTGGATGAATAAAGTGAAATGGCTGGTGAGGTTGAAGCTTCCCGTGAGCCATTTTCCCGGCGGGACAATAAGCTGAACTCCTCCGTCAGCCGCCATCGGGCTTAGCGTGCTAATGGCGTCTCTAAACGCTTCTGTGTTTGAAGTTTTTCCGTCGTCGACCGCTCCAAATTCCGTTAGAACCGCACTATGTCTTCGGCAACTCAATGCTGAATATTCGATACCGGCTTGTGCTTTCAGGGGCGGACGATGCCGAGACTCCATAACCAGAATACCGGATAGAGAAAAAACCACTAATATGAAGAATGATGTTCTAATCATCTAAGAAAAAAAAAACGGAAACAAGAAATATACAATATCATTTTCCCAAAAAATAATTAAGAACTCTTAAGAATGGCACTTTATAAAACCAAAAGTAGGTACCTTTAAATGTTTTAGTATGATGAAGAGCTCCATTTGCTAGAGGAAATTCGAAGTATGGCTTTTTGGATTGGTAATTCTCAATAAGACAATGATTAATTTATAGAGAGGAAATAATAATAGTTTATGGTAACAATTATGTTATTCCAATATAAGAGACATGTCAATGTATCTGTAATGGTTAGCCAAATTGATCTACAATATGGTCAAATTTATCAAGTTCTATCCCAAAATTTGGATAAGATAAAATTTATTTCTGAAGGGAAAATTAAAAGTGCCAAATTTAATTTAGAATTGGAGAATTCTAAAAAGAAATACCATTGTAATTATTTATTTTCTAAGATTACAATCAAAACATGAAATCTCAACATTATCACAAATTGGTGTTTAGGGACCCTTCTTTATCATTTAGAAACATTTTTAAAGTTATAGGTTTCTTTTTGGGTCCAAGTTATAGACTTTTATCTTAAACACAAGTTTGTGATATTCTTACGATTTTTATGATAACTTTACTGAACAAAACATACATGGTAGGAAATTTCTCTTTAATTAGAGTTAATTAGTGTATTCAACGTTTTATATTAAAAGTTAATGAATTACAAGACAAAAATCTTCAGTCATAATGGACTTCATATTCATTTACCAACTAGAGTAGGATCCTTGCATCACTCAGATTTCTGATTGAAGATTTGATTTAAAATGAAATGACCATGTTGAAACAAATAAATATTTCCTTAAATTATATTTACTAGGTCAATACCCGCGCATACGCGTGAGTTTTTTTGTCGACTAAAATTCTAAAAATTGTTCTGTAAATTTGTGGTGGAAGATCCGGGAGAAAAATTGTGGTTGAAGTTTTTTGTAATATTCACCAAAAATTATAGAAAATTTTTAGCAGAAATATGTATGCGAAAGATCGTAGAACTGGAAGGCAAACATTGTCTTTAAATTTGTCTTCTTAAAATCATGTGACGAAGAGGGGCGAAGCAGGAATTGTCCATGCGTATGAAAATTTACGTGACCATTAGCATCTTTATAAACTTGTGTCTTGAAAGGTTCGAATTGATTCCATAGGAATGAGAACAAGTAACCCGACTTCGAAGACCATTTACGAGCAAAGACCATATCAACTATGATTGTGTTCATACATGATAGTTGGCGTTTGTCTGCATTCTCCATTAAAAATAGAATCTCGTTCAAATGTTCATAAAAAAATATGTACACATAACATGTTGAGAGGAAGTAAAATAAGGTATAATCCTATTGCAGGTTGACCAAGTGAATTTGC